AGTGGTTCTCAACATTCTTTATTTTTAACCGTTGACCGAAAACGCTCGTCAACAACAAGAAAATGAGACAAAACATAACTACAATGAGACCAACACGTTTCTGAAATACGACACCCCTACCACATCATGAACAAGTCAAGTCTTTACACCCGAAGGAGGATCGTCCAAACTCTGAACTCCGCCAAGCCCCTGCGCCCCAAGGGAGGCCAAATAGTCGGCAACAAATTCGCTTTGTGATAACCGTGTTGCAAGGCCACATGCCACTGCCGATGTAACAACTCCTGTATCCCTCTAGAATCCCCCAATATCCATCCCTCTAGAATCTCCCTGTGGATACTGCATCCATCATCTGCATGGACCATCACAATAATGCCCTGATTATCGACCTCCACCACCGCCTTGCGGGCTCCAATCTTCATGCAAGCGTCAACCCCTAAAACAAACCCCAAAGTTCAGACCAATTACGAAGCAAAATTCAATATTCATCACGGAGCCACATAACCATTTCTCCATATGATCCCGAATAACGCCACTAGCACTAGCCATACCCTTAATCTGTAGATGGCTGACGTCCGTGTTGACCTTCACCACACCTGCACTAGGAGGTTCCCACCCTATCCAACGTTGCTCGCGTCGCTCGGCGCCGCCTAGCACACGACCACTAGTCGCGGTCGTGTCAATGTTGTTGTCAACAATTTTCGTAACAACCAATGTTAAAGAATAATATGGAGATTTTATTATTCTTCCCTTTGAGTGTAGAACTGCTTTGTCGGATCGGCGCAAATCTTTTGTATGCACACGAAGCTCCACCAACCAGTTCTCATCTCGAATAATCGTCAAGTTTTGACATTGCCACATACGCCAAGCCCTGACCCCAAAGATGGACACCCAATCCTCAACGCCATACACCAATGTCCCATCCAAATTGGCGTAAACCCACGCCTGCATGGGAAGAGAGAAAAAGCCACCCAGACATCCCGAGGCATCAACTTACGTCAAGTTGCCCCAGATACAGAGCAGTCCCGCAGCACATGCATTTTCTGTGGTTTGCAGTTCGCGATGGCCTACTGATAAACGGGGCGCGACAACACCGCCATTTGAAAGATGCACTTTTAATAAACACATAAACTAATCTGACTATAGCTTACCAATTTTAAGGGCGAAAATGGGCTGACACAACCAAAAAGCACAAATACACACGATTAAAAAAACATGATTATAGATACAAATAACATAACAAGTACAATATTGGCATGTCACGGCCTGAAATATGAAACAAATACTACAAAAAAAAAAATTAATTAATTAAAATTACAACTTATTATTGTGTTTATGATAAAATAAAACCGATTATATAAAAACGCAACACAGATACCATAATAAATTAGGCTAATGGCGAGTTCAGAACATCTACAATGTTTTGAGTCTAACTTTACTTGATGTGACATGTAAATAGACCTGAGTCTTAGATGACATGGACAAAAAGTAACAAAATTAACATAAATGCAAAGATACTAGGTCTCTACTTGGGTCTAAAGTAACTTAAAGGTAAATCGTATCTTTTTTCTTGCCGCCACATCAGGACCCAATCCACTTACATTTGCATTGAAATATATATTTTTTTAGACTAAGTCTATTTTCCCTGCATATTTTTTTCGAATGAACATAATGTTTCTTTGAATGAAACCAAAACATTATGGATGCTTGAAAAATTAATACTCACACATATCATAACTGTAAAGTACTAGTAGAAAAGAATTGATGCCAAAATCAACAATTATAACGATAAAGAATACATCAATACACACAACTGATAACTTTTTTTTTTAGCATTGTTCACCTACCCACGGTGGGCACATATTAATATGTCCACCGTGTGGCATACATTCATTGGTAATGTACTTTTTTGAACATATTAACATCACCAATGTGTGCATGCCACATAAACGGTGGGTATATTAATATGTGTCCACCGTGGGTATGGTAGCATTATGGCTTTTTTATGTTATTCCCTTTCAGTTTCAGACAACACTCAACACCCACAAAAATACCCACCACAATTTCTCATTGTTCAATAGATCTTCTTGCCAGGCCTTAACCTACTTTTTTTTTTCTTTTTAATTTGTATACTAAAATCTCACTTTAAGAAAACAGCATAGACATGGTTTATGGTTATGGTATTCCATTGTGTAAGCACACATTCTTATTTACATAGTATAGCGGGTCGACCCGTCTAACCGTTTAGACTCCCTCACACCAAAATTCGTCCTCAATACCCTCTACAATCACTTCACATAACTGTTGCAAGAGAAAAAAATCGAACCAAATTCCTACCTCCCAACATGCCTCTTCCCACCATCTTTTTTCCCTATCCATCTCCTTCATCTTCTCCCTGGAAAGTGTACGCCTGATACCCACCTCGCGTCGACAGATTTCCCGACCCGCTACTACTACTAACCGACCTCTCTATATCACCCATATTCGCAATCAACGAGATTGGCCTCTCGGGTATTCCCGGCACAATCACATCCATTTCCAGCATCTTCACAACCCGATCCATCGTTGGCCGAGCATATGCCTGAGGATGCGAACACAAAACACCCACAAGAACAAACCTTTCCACCACTTCCCGAGGGCCCAAATCCGGCATTCCCTTCTCAACCACATCAAGGGCCCGTCCTTTCCGAACCAAAGCCCAAGCCCAATCACCCACCAGATACGGCTGCCCGTCTTTGCCCGACAAAATCGCCTTTTTCCCACTCAAAAGCTCGAGCAGCACAACCCCAAAGCTATATACATCGCTTTTTTCAGTCAGCTGACCATATAAAGCGTATTCCGGAGCAACATATCCCATAGTCCCGGCAACTCGGGTGCTGAGGTGGGTCATGCCATCGGGCCTGAACTTAGCCAGCCCAAAATCGGCTACTTTGGGCTCGAAATTCTCGTCCAGGAGTATATTGCTGGCCTTTATATCTCGGTGAATGATTGCGGGTTGCGCACCGTAATGTAAGTAAGCTAATCCTCGAGCCGTACCAATCGCTATCCTGTGGCGTACGGGCCAATCGAGCCTTTTCCTTTTCTCGGTCGAAGCCGAACCGAATAAATGGTCGTGCAAGCTCCCGTTTTTCATTAGGTCGCACACGATTATCCTCTGGTGGCCCTCGAGAGGAGTCGTTGCAGTGCAGTAGCCTCTTAACGCGACTAGATTTACATGACGAACACTTGCTATGATCAAGAGTTCGTGTGTGAAGCTAGCGTCACCTGAAGCCGAGCAGTTCTTGAACCTTTTCAAAGCTACTTCCGAGCCATTAATCGGGAGAGTGCCTTTGAATACGTAACCGTATCCTCCTGTGCCGATTATGTTGTGCCTCGAGAAGTTCCGAGTGGCCGTTTTGATTTCGTCGAACGTGAAATGGATTAGGCTCGTGCTTGCGTTCAGCGAGTCGAGTAGAGAGGTTGAGTCAAGATCGGTGTTCGTGGGGTTTGGCTTTCCGGTGTTCATTTTCCGGCGCCGGAAAAGGAACAGAATTAAAGCCATGGCAGAGAAAACCACAAGGATGATGATAATAATAATCACGATTTGTTGTTTTCTCCGGTGATGACCAGTATTTGTAGATTCGAAATCGAGATTGAACAAGCAGGCGGCGGTACCTGGATCAGACGGCCCAAAACGGTTGCTGAAGGCGGCCGCGTAGATGAAAGGGTAAGAAGTGCAGTCGGAGAGGTTTCCGGCAGATGGCCCGGGGAGGTATGAAGCGTGGAGGTTTGAGAGTGCGGTAGTGCACGAGGCGCAGGGGGAGCCGTCGAGGAGGGACTGGTTGCAGGCGGCGGATACGCCGCCCAGCGCCGACGGCGGAACGACGGCCTCGAAGTCGGATCGGGAGGTGAGGTTCATGCATCCGCGGGAGATCCAGTCTGTCCGGAACCCGCAGCGGCGGCGGATGTCGAAATTCGGGAGGTAGCCGCCGACGACGGACCCGTACGCGTCCCAGCACGGCTCGGCGGAGTCCGGAGAGGGGAGGAACGAGCCGGTGCGGCGGAGGTGCTCGGAGAGGACGAGCCGGAGGCCCTGGATGATGTAATGGCAGCGGGAGCGGGTGTTGTCGAGATCGGGGAGGGGAAGACGGCGGAGGGAGTCGAAGGTCAGGGGACATGCGGCGAAGTTTTGGAGGAGGGAGCGATGGCCGGCGAGGGACGGCGACGGGAGGGTTGAAAATTGGGAAATCGAGATTAGGGTTAGGAGGAGAGGAATCGAATTATGCATCTGCGGTTCATGAAATTCGGCCGTGGGCTGTGGAGGGGTGGGGTTTGGGGAGGTTTTGAGGAGGTTTGGTTGGAAGAGAGACGATTCATTTGGCAGGCGGCAGAGGTTTCGAATGTACAAAAATGGCGGCGTTTTAGTGTGAGAAAGTGAGTGATGGAGAGAGAGAGAATTGGAATAACAGAAATTGCAGGGAAAAAGAGGGGGTTTTGACTAAATTGGGATGTGAGTTGGACTAAATTTTTTCATGTTACTAAATTTTTTAATATATGTGGTTTTGAGAAGTTGCACACTAATTAAGAATATTTTTTTTGTCAATAATAACCTTATTTAATGAAGATAGAGATGAATGTTTTGAGAAAAAGTGCAGAGTGAATATGAAAAGACGTAGGCCTTGTTTGGCGATCAGTGGATAGCGGATAGCGAATAGCGGATTATATTAGCTGATTTAACTAGCGAATTGCATTAGCGGTTTTTAAATAAGTGTTTGGAAAATAGCTGAAAGCTTATAGCTGTTTGACATTGTAAATTACTAATAAAGACATTTTATTATTTAGGGTGTATTCTTTTAATAATAATATATTAAAACATTTAATATTTTTTAGTTGGTAATTTATAAATATACATTTAAAAAAAAAAAATTACTAACAATTGATTAAGAAGTTATGAATTTTACATTTTTCTATATAAATTAATCATATGGATGACATATTATTATTTGTTAGCATCATAAATCAATGTAGATTGTAAAATAAATAATACAAATTAAAAAGTTCTAAATTAAAATTGTAGATTGTGAATCCTCTATCCCCAAAAAGCTCCTCTAACGAGCTTTTTCTAAATTAGAGTTTTGGGCCTAAAAAGCTTAACAAATAAGTTATTTACCAAACAAGCTCAATAGCGAATTTGACGGGTCAAACCTCTCAATTAAGTCCAATCCGCCAATTTATCCTCAATCCGCTATCTTCCAAATGGGGCCGTAATGTATTTATTGACTAAATGAGGGTAATATCCTCCCTATATATAATTCCCGAATGCGCTGAGCCTACGTGGTTGTTTCTGGTGCTTCGGAATTCTATTTGGCGAAAAATCATGCTTCGTAATCAGGTTTGGACAAATAATATTAGTATATTAATAATTAATAATCTAGGTTCGGGTATTCCATAAATATTATTTAGTAACTTAGATATTTTAATATCACTTTTACTAATATAACCCTTTAATTCTTTGTAATTTTATATAGTGAGGCACTAAGTGACTAATATATCCCTAAATTGTGATTTGCTTCCTTCACTAAGCTATTGAATTATAAATGCATTTTAAAAGTAGATAACTTTTGTATTTTTTATCGGTTTTACATATATAATATATCAAATTAATCATCTTTTGATGATCTTCGATTTGACATCCATATTGTATATATAAAATAAATAAATTATATTTATCTTTATAATAATAAAAAATAATAATATTTATTAAAATTCATTAGAAAAATAAAATTATTTCTCAAGTGATATATTTATATTTAATGTAGTTATATATTGGAAGTTAAAAAATTAGTATAATATAACAGAATTAAGTCGCACAAATAAAAAGTATCATGATAAATTATAATAATATATATATTCTTATAAAAGGTATTTAAATTTTCAAACTACTTTTTCTCATTAATTTTAAATTTTAAGAAAAAAATTAGCAAGCACCCGTGTAATACACGGGTGTTGTACTAGTGAAAAAATATGTGTAAAAGATTCAAAACGACATTTATTTGGCAAATAGTTGAAAAAGTTAGAATGACATTTAAAAAAAAAATAGGAGAGAGTATTAGATTTCGTCTTCATAAACAATTAGAATTAGAATATATAACTACAGTTATAATCAGAAAATTGATATATACTGACTATTCATGTAACATATATTGTACATTTTTCCACGAGCCCAAGCTTTGGGTCTTGCCTTCATCATCTCCAACTTGACCTCTCTGCTGGGAAGGAGAAGGAAGGGACGCACAGTCGTCGGAGTCTGTCGTTTTCTTTTTTGAAAAACAACTGCATGGATCGAAAGAAGTGACTCATAAGTTCAGCGTCGCCATAGATGAACAAGCCTTCCATACAAAGATTGCACGCCAGCCAATCGGATGTTGGGAACATATATATCTGGTAGCCACCATGTCCAGTTATGAAGATCGCAACCTTTCTGTGTACACATTCCGACAAAATGACGACGAGGTAGGGCATGACGGAAGAGTATGAGTAGCAGCAGCAGAGGTGCCAAGTGAAGGTCTGCAATTGTTGAAAGATGACGAAGTTGATGTTGACATAAAACATGGAGTTACAAAAAAAATTAAAATCTCATATAATTAGGAGAGTTATCAATTCAAACCAATTATATCATATGATCCTCCACTTTCTTAATTATATAAAAATGTTAAAATTGAACTTCTATTATATATGCAAATAAATATAATAATTTTAGTTACTTTGCTAATAAGTATATATGGGTTGACTGTGCAATAAAGATTGAATGATTTAGTAGACTATGCAATTTTTTCATAAAAATACGTGGGCTTATATAGATTTGTTACCTATTAGAATTTGGGAGAATATAACAAGAAATTTTATTTCACCTCAAACAATTCACGTATCATATCATTTTTTTTTTTTTTCGCGAACATGACTTGGTTTGATTTGTAAAAGTCCGAACTTGGTTACTTGGTTTGGTTTGTAAAAATTTTGTTACAAAAGGGTGTCGAAATACACAAGAATCCTACAAACTAAAGTATATTTTTCAATTCTTACGAATGAACTAAAATTATAAAAGTACAAAAGAACTGAAAATAAATTACAGCTTGAAAAACGAAAATATTATAGCCGAAGCGAGTAAAATCTTTGCGCCAGATGAATACGCCCCGTGTAGTTCTGACGGTTCAGGCGTATCGTTCCCAAAAATATAACGGTGTCGAAATGTGCAACACACCAAACTTACGAGTTCCGACAAATTGGAACAGGATTGAGAACTGAATGAACACTTAAAATTGGAATGAAAATTATCTCTATTTTGCTATCAAACATTTTTTCTACTTTATAATTTTTTCTTTTACTTTATGCTTTCTGTAATTTTCCTGTACTTCTTTTTGCTCTCTTATTTCTTCTACTTCATGCATTTTCACATTGTCAGAATAAGCAAAGCAACACATAAAGCTAGGGGTGAGCAACGGTGCGGTTCGGTGAAATACCACACTGAACCGCAAAAAATCAAAAATCGAACTTGGCAAAAAAATTAACCGGACCGCATCGCAACTTTAAAAGAACCGAACCGAAACCTAACCATTTTTTTTTTTTACACTAAATGACCAAACTGAACCGCTTTAGTTCATTTCTTTTTATACATTTCATTCAATTTTGTGCGGTTTGGTGCAAAACCGCACCAAATCGAACAAAATCGAAAACCGAACTTATGAAAACTATAACCGCACTGCACCGCAATGTAGGAAAAAACTAAACCGAAACTGAAACAAAATTTTGTTATTAAAAAAACCAAATCGAACTGCACCAAATTGCACGGTTCGGCTCGGTTTTTCGATTTCAGCTTGGTTTTGTTCACCCTACGCAAAGCCTCATAATCCAACCAATTGCTAGGGACTTTTATTGTTCAAGTGGTTGATCACCACACTATTACTGTGACTTTGTAATAGGAGATAGCCCCGTATTACAACTATTTCCACTCACTTTCCTACGAATTCGAACTTATATTGTTCCTTTATTGAAACACGTCGAGCTGGAACGGCTAATCGAGCTTGTTTATTAAAAATATCGAGTTAGTACTATTTCCACTCACTTTCCTAAGAATTCGAACTTATATTGTTCCTTTATTGAAACACGTCGAGCTTTAACGGCTAATCGAGCTTGTTTATTAAAAATATCGAGGCGAGCTTGTTCCGGAATAACTAATTTTAAGTTTTCTGATGGACTTTTTTAAACCGAAACAAATTTGTTTGTGCACAAAATTTTTATTCTGAACCAGCTCGTTTGGGATTTGAAGGAAAAAAAAAAAAAACGTATATAATGTTACTACACAAACTTAATAAAAAAATAATATATGGAATAAAGTAAAGATACATGATATGAATAATTATATGTAAATTATTTTATAATTACATTTTGCACACAACTTTATAAAACTCACTTTTTTTTTTTTTGTATCTTCATGTAAAGATGAATGCCTTCCTGAACTTTATACTATCTCATATAGTTAAGATGTGCTTATAATTAGTGTCTCAATTTAAATTATGTACAACATTTATAGGAAAAATGCTACAGTCCCGTTACAAAATTATTTCGTCGGGATTTGTTAACGTTAGATCATCATGTAACCGTCGTATATAGTTGTTTTAACGATTACAACATTGACTAATTTATATAATAACACAATATTTCAAGTAGCTGACCTATTTCAATCCCAAATCCACCACCTTATTTAAAAAATATAAAAAAAAAAATATAAAAAATACCCACCAAAAGGCAAGCTAATGACAACACAACTTCTATCTCAATAGACTATATTAGCATATTTTACATCACTTGAAATGGACATCTCAAAAGTTCCGTAACGTCAACTATTAAATGTGTTGCAATTGTGCCCAATTTTAGATGTAATTAATTTTAACAATATTGCAAAATGGAAAATAACATTTTTTTTTTTTTTAGTAAAGGATAAATGATGGTGGAATATATTGAAGAGTTTAATTAATTAGGACTATTGTTCCAAAAATATGTTTGTTAGCAAAACTCAAAAATGGATGTAACTTTTACTTTAGTTTTTACTTTTTACTCCAAATTGTTAATATAATATATGTCTTCATATATGTGGAATAACGATTATGAAATTTTTATATTTAGATGTAAATAATATTAACTTGGAAAAGAAGATAATATATTTTTTTTTTTGTACTCTTATAAAGTAAAATATAAGTCTCAATATCTTTGTTGGGATTGGATATAATTTTTTAATTTATATTGATATTATATATTTTTCAACACAGAACACTATTAATTTACTCGCATGTTTCTTACTGTCAATTCTATCACACAGTAATTTATTATAATTTTTATATCACACCGACTTTAATTATTCTATTTTCTTGTAACATATCTTTTACAATTTACAATCTCATATATTTCAATTTTCTTAAACCAATTTTTTTTCATTAAATAAAAATTATTAATGTAGACTCCTTTTTATGGTGTGATTAAGGAACATAAAATGATAAGTGGATATCTATTAAGCAAAGATGCAATTATCAGAGTTTGAAATTATTAGTGAAGTGATTAAAACATTTTGTGTGGGGCCATAAATTTCCTTAAGGTATCAGTTACTTCAGTTTCATGATTTGTAGTGGTGGGGAGGGTATCATTCAAAACAACTTATACTTCACATTTTTTAATTGGAAATTGTCAATTGTCAATTTGTCAGTAACGCTAAGGAGCCAACAGTTGGCTCCGTTATGGAGCCAACAACCAATTGGATAACTCCATGTGGGGTTGTCCCACATTAAAGTATTGTGGGCCAGTCCCACATGGAATTGTCTCATTGATTGTTGGCTCCGTAACGGAGCCAACTGTTGGCTCTTTAGCATTATCGGTCAATTTGTCATTATTAATTAATTGAAACTTCATAATCAAACAATCAATGAATAATAACCTTTGAAGTAGTGATAGTTCCATCATGCATGTTAGTGTTAGCACAATACACATTTTTTTTTTTTTTTTTTGGGTGTGTGATTTGGTCTAACCATTAGTCGGTTTATAAGTTTATTCAACAAAAACGCATAATTATAATATAATTATCATATATTTTGTTCTTTTTTCTTGAAGTTTATTTACTTATGTCCGAAAGTGTACACACTTGTTAAAAAAATATATATAATTGTATAAAGGTTAAGTCTTTCTGACATCAACCTTACCGAACACAACATTATTCATACAAGAATTACTCCTCTCCACAATAGAACTACCATTAGTCAAGTCGAAAGGTTAGCAAACATATTTTTCAATAGATTGCACAAGATTATGACAATTCGTAGCACAAGATTGCACTTTTGTTAAAACTACGTATGATGAGACAATCTGCATAAAAGTTATGCTGCCTCGCACAAGAATTTGGGATGCTGTCTATTGATTAGGCAATATCGTCCAAGTAGTATATTTTTGCGCACAAGATCATAGTATCAAGTGTCGTATTTATTTATATTATTTTAAAAATATGATATTTAAGTATAAAATTATGTATGTTTGTTGAAAATATACGGTTATACAATAGTTATTGTTGTTATTAATATACTCGATATCAGTTGACAAATTATAAAAATAACAAATAATCGTGGAAACATTAGTATTATTTTAATTTTTTCAACAAAGCAACACAAAATTTATATGCATACACATATATGTGTGTGTTTTATATATGTGTGTGTTTTATGTAGCCAGCTAGAACAATAAGGAAAAAAGCTTGTTTTGTAATGATTGTACATACATGTTTCTCCCAAGGTTAGAACTTACGTTTCACTAAACGCAAAACCACAATTGCAAAATACGTAATGTTCGAATTCTCAATGTCATAAATATATGTGCATATTTCTCTAGTCGAGGTTGGTAGCGAAAGGAGATTTTTATTTTTAATTTTTAATTTATTTTCAACGGCTTTCTCATTATATATACTTTAGATTTCACTGGTGCGTACAACAATCTGGCGGTAGAACAGCAAACGAGCTGCTCGCGAGCATTTGAGTTAAACTTCAATTCAAAATCGAGTAACATGAATTTGGACTCGAGCATAACTTAATCTTGTATTTTGTACGCTCGATTGTTCGACGAGCTTCTCGAGTATGTGTGTAATTATCTAAATACTCTTAACTTAATCTGAATTTGATCTAAAATCGATAAAAAAATAATCTTATGCTCGAACTGATCTAGAGTATTTGTATAATATCGAGCTAAGTCGAATTGAACTATAACAAACTTGACTTTTAAAATTCGAGCAACAATATAAAATATTGAGTTCTAACACGATAAATACATTGTTCGATTCAATTCGACTCATTCAGGATAATGAGAAAGATGAGTAGAAATATGAGTTGACTTTGACTTTATATGAAAAGAAAATGTACCATGATGCTATAAGATCTATTCTATCCTCCTACAAAAAACATGAATCATGAAAATCTTAATTAGAAAGTAAGGGAAATGCTAAAGTCGTGTTATGGTATCATTCTGTTGGAATTTATAACCGTCAGAAATAGTTAATCTAACGGTCATAAATCCCGACATAATGTTTTACCGCCATCATCTAACATGTTGATGTTGATAACCATAGACATGAAAACGACACGTGTCCACCTGACGCTTTGCTCGACTCCAAACACCTGTGGCCGATGAGAACAAAAAAAACCGATGAAATCAAAACCGATAAACACATCGTTGAGATTTATTTTTCTTTTTATTTCTGTCATTTTTTTTATTTTTTTTTTTTTTGTATTTTTTTAATTGTTTGGTGGGTGAGGTGTGGGGTTAATCGCAGCAGCTTGTCTTCGAAGGATAAGCCTTGGCATAATTATCACCTCCATTCATGCACGCTTGCTTAGCACTTAGCAGCAAGCTCCAAAAAACGGATCAAAAGAACCCAACGAACGCGCCCACAAAGTGTTTGTTCTTTTGCCCCACTGAAAAAAGGTTTACAAAGGTTCGAACTTTATGTTGTCAAAATCGAAAACAGAACACGAAAATCGTCTGTTGTTGAAGAGGAAAATCCTTCGATTCGAGTCCTTGTCGTTACAGTATCTTTAGTATTTTGGCCCCTTTTCGTTTTCGAATCCTTTTTGTCTTGTCCAAATATGAAATTTATTACAGTCTGGGGTTCTTGAAGATAGTTCCAACAATTGCCAGCTTCGTATATCTATGGTGAGTATTCTTTTTCTCACACTTTCTCTTATTATAACTTTGAGCA